CAGGTCAGGTCGTCCCCAAGGTGAGAGCTCACACTCCGGAGACAGACAAACTCGAATTCAAATTCCATCCAGATGACCTTGGACAGGTTATATTTAGCTTCCTTGAGGCAACTCTGGGAGCAGTAAGGGTCAAATTATTGGGAACACGAAATGAGGCAATATACGAAGTATTAAGCACAGTGCCTGTCACACAGTAAGATCTCAAAATTCTTTGACCCTCCTATTGAGGGCTGGGGGATCTACAACCCCTCACCTTCAATGTGGGCTCTGTGGCTGCTTAACCAACAGAATGTAGCCAAGGTGATGCTGTGCCCGTTTCTGGGTCCAGATCTTAGGAACCTGGCGGGTCCTATTTCCTACGCTGGGGTGGTTTGTTCTAGGAACACAGAAGAGGCCCGTGGGGAGAAACCCGCAACAATCCCCGGGCCAGCCGCGGGGCACCAGTGTGAACTGAGGTGGACTCTCCTGCCAAGTCGGGGCCAAACTGCAGATCTGTGAGCACAATCAATGACAAACGTTGTTTTAAGCCACTAAGTCGTGAGGTGGTTTATGATGTAGCAAGAGAGAACCAGGACAGTTGAGGTCAGTTACTAGCCATTCGACATTTTTGCAGACTGGGGCCCGGCGAGCTCATCTATAATCACGGCCACTATGAGGGTAAGTGGCAAAGTATGGAAAGTGCCTTGGACCTGAGTAAGTTCCTAACAATTTCGCTGCCTCTTATGCAGAACCAGCTACGTCATTTGTGAGACCCAGTGGAAAAAAAAAAAAAAAGAAAACACAGGGCCCTTTGTCCAAAGGTTAATAATTTATCAGACAGCACAGCAAAGCAGTAAACCCAGCGCTGGCCCTTCAAAGCAGGAGCCCTGTTGGACCAAACAAGCCATGTGCTTAGGAAGCCCTGCTCCCACGACGTTCTCGTCTGACTGTGGGAACTACTTTGACTCCTGCAAAGTTGCCTCATAAATAAGAACCCAACTCACTCACCACAGTTACTTTTAACACCAAATTAAAAACAAAAACAAAGAACGGAAGAATGAAAGTCAGCAGGTAATCTTTACTTGTTCACTTGGACTGAACAGTGATTTCCCCCCACCCTGTCTCCACACAGCACCAAGCTGAGATGTTAGGCAAATTGCTTTACCTCTGTGGGGCTCAGTTTTCCCATCTGTGAAATGGGGAGGCTTGTTCTCGACTGGTCTTCCTTCTGGGGCTCCCAGAAGGGAGGGCTCCTCGGGGGCTCCTCAGGGGCATGGGGCAGAGAGCAGGGCACAAGGGGTGACTGAGGATGCACAAGGCAATACCGGGGTCAGGTGGTTCTCCAGAAGATGCTGTCTGCACCGCCTGCCCTCCCAGCCTTGGGTCTCCCCTGCCCGCAGGATCAGGGGGAGAAGCTCCAAGAACAGAGGCTCTGACTGGGCTAGCCTCGTGTCCTTTCTGCCTCACCAGGAGACTCAGAAAGCCACAACTGGCCAGCCACTAGACCTTGGGCAGGTTCCCCAGCCTCCTGTGACCATCTCTGCCTCCCTGGAAGAGGGGGAATGAAACCGACCTCCTTCCCATCTCCCAGCTGTGGAGAGTTGGGAAGTGAAAGGAAACTTGTCCAGAGGGCACAGTGCCAGATGATGGCTCTACATAAACACAGCCCAACCACAGAGGCATCCTGGCCACATGGGCGGGAGGGGGACTTCCCGGCTGTGTGACAGTAGGTCAGTTTGTCTGCCTCTCTGAGCTCCGGTCTGTAAAAGGGAGCGCTGATACTTGGCTTTTCAGCTATCATCATGAAACTCAAATACAGAAAGAATGTAGACAGGCTGGAGCCAACTGTAAGGCTCCTGAAACGCCTACTTGGACTGCTATTTCCTGAACAGGGACCATGCCTAGCACCAGGCCGAGCACTTGCCCTGCGTTACCGCTGGGCCGCACGACCACCTCGGAAGGCAGCTGTTGTGCCCATTTTGCAGATTGGGAAACCGAAGTTAAAGGCGCTTAAGGGCTTTGCTGGAGGCCCCGTAGCCGGAGTCGCTCGAGCAGGAGGTGAATCCTGACTGAGCTGAGCCATTCCTTCCCCGACAGGTGAAGCCACGGTGATGAAACAGAAGGGGGCGCGTGGAAGAAAGTGCAGGCCGTGGTTCAGAGAGACCCCACGCCCCACACCCGAAAACAAACAAAGGCTCCAGCCTCCCCCAAGAATTTTTGGTGTGGTTTTTACTCTCCTGGAAGGCACCCGGAGAAAGGGGGAACTAGACTGACTGACGGCCAGCCTCCTGTGGTGACATCAACCAGGGCCACATGAATCAGTAATGCAGGCTTCTCTCTGTGTCCTGAGACCACCCGTCTCACTGCTTCCTGGCTCCTGGCCACCGGTGCCCCTGGCCCAGGCTTCCCTCTGAAATAGGTTCAAACAAACTTTGCTGCCTCTGCTTCGGCCCTTCACGCCTATTCCTGAGATAATACCAGGATGTTTATTGTTCTAATAGGAGAAAAATAGAAATAATGATGTTTCATGATGAAGTCTAGGTGCCTGACAGCCGCCCGGCAGGCCCCCGTGACCCACCCGCTGCTTTCCACACTCACCTCCTGCTCCTCTCTGTTCTGCTCACTGTGTTTCCACCAGGGTGCTGTGCTTCCTGAATCTTTTTTTTTTTTTTTCTAGTTTATTTGAGAGAGAGAGAGAGAGAGTGCACAGGGCACAGAGAGAGAGGCAGAGAGAGAGAGCGAGAATGCAAGCAGGCTCTGCACCACCAGCACTGAGACCAATGAGGGACTCAAACTCACAAACCGCGAGATCGTGACCCGACCCGAATCAAGAGTTGGACACTCAGCGCACGGAGCCACCCAGATGTCCCGTGCATCCTGAATCTCCTGGCCATTCCCACCTCAGGGCCTTTGTGGTTGCTGTTCCTGACTTGCCGGAATGTTCTGCCACCAGGTCCCCAGACTCCCTCTTGTCATGTCACCTCAGGTTGAGCTCAGAGGACCCCTCCTTAGAGAAGACTTCCCCGGCCACCTGGCCAGAATTGCCCCTCCCTTCCAGACACTGTGACACAGGCTCCAGATTGGGGTTTCTTATAGCACACAGTGGGATTAATCCTGGAATGACCTTGTTCACTGATCAGTTGTGCACACTCATCAGTCTCCATCCACTGGACCCAGGACCCAGGACAGCAAGTCTGAGCGCTAGACAGACAGACCTAGGCCTTCCTAGGTCCCTCTGCAGCTAGATGTGGGCCTGGTCACCATGGGTGTTTTCAGAAGGAAGGGAGGGCGGGAAGAAGGAGGGAGGGAGGCCACTCAAAAAAAAAAAAAATCTTGAGTAGCAATGCAGTACAGCCTGGAATGCACTAGAACCACGAGCAGGACATCCCTTGCAGAGGGACCCAGAGCACATCGCAAATACCCAGAGTTCCAGACATCTAATAAACGGCCCAGTCCTAGGACCATGATGTGAGGGGTTCCCACTGCAACTTGGCCCCAAGGGAGGCCAGGTCCCAGGAGAGCCTGAAAGCCCCGGTTAACCTTACCAGAGCAAACACAGGCTTGCTGGAACCAACCACCACTTATGATGCCCTTTTGAGGGTGACCTGTTTGTAGGCTGGAAGGAGCTGAATTCTGCTAGCCTAGGAAGGGCTCGCTCTTGGCAAGTGGCAGCCAGGCTGCACCCAGGACAGAAGCTTCCATGCAGCAAGCACAATCCACGTATCAGGTGGGGTCTAATGCAACCCCATGACCCTACCGGTTAGAGACTGATACCTTCACCTCGAAGACCAGGAAATCGCTTTAGGGAGATAGAGGCACATAACCAAGAGTGCCCATCTGGTAAGTGGCAGAGCTAGGACTCGAACCCAGGTCTGACCCCAGGACCCATCCCCACCTGCACACTGCTGCTGTTCTGTGCCCACGCCCCAGAGAGCGGTGGGCAGACCTCCCTGCCTGCACCTCGCTCTCAAACACTGGTGACCTGTGCTCCTCTGGCCCCTGGGCACGGCCCCAGGATGTGCACCCAGCATGGGGTGTTGGCCCAGGGCGAGGGGCCTGGGGGAGGGTCACGGAGTGGACCTCGAAACTTTTAATATCCTCAATTTGGCCTCCAATCAAGCCTTATTCCCCCACTTGCACGTTGTCTCAGTCCCCACCCACCCCGCCCTCCACTTCCTGCACTGTCAGCACCGATTTTCATTTCTGTTTAGCCCAACAGGCCAGTTCCCGGTGACCGGTCTTCAGGATCTCCCCCCACCCAGGGGAGGGGTGAGATGAGACAGAAGCCTCTTGTTCCATCTCGGGGACCGGTCCTGGCCTTACTTACAGATTCTCAGAACCTAGAACAGCTTACAACCTACCAGACAGCTTGGGAAATGATAAATTTCCTTTGAGTGCAATAGCTTCCGTAGGACACATCACTTACCGTCACTCCCCGAATACAAACTCTTCAGGAAGAGGGATGTACGTGTGCACGGGAGGGATCCTTACAGCCTACGAAGTGCTAGCCTGAGTAGGAGGGGCCTTGCCCGTCTGCCCACCTGGACATCAGAACAGACAGAGGTTCAGAAGTAGCCCCTGATCACGGGTCAAGACAGGGAAATTCACCGTGGCTCTCAGACCAGCCACATGGCAGGCAGACGCTGGTTAAACGGCTGGGTTGATTTGCAGGTCTGGACATGAGCTGGAGTCCTGGGGATGGGGTGGGTGAGGTCTGACCACAGCCCTCTGTCTCTTTCCTCCACCCCACAGGGGAACCACAGTCAGAGGGGGGCTCCAGGCTGGCTGCCTGTTGTGGGGGCAGTTCCCTCCCAGCTCAGGCCCAAAGTCCAAGTCTCACATTTACCCCTTCGTCTTCCCCTTGCCCGCCCCCTCCATCCCCCGCCTCCGGAGACTACGTGTTTATGCTACTACTTTGTGACTCCCCTTTTCCCAAGCTGGGAGGCTGCTCAGCCCAGCCCAGAGGGAAGAAGGTCATGGGGAGGCCAGGGATCTCTTTCTGCAAATACCCAAAGAGAGCCTTATGACAAGAGAGGCTTTATTCTGCATATCCTCGGAGGACAGGTCTGGGACCAGGGAGCAGGCGGTACGCAGAGGAAGGGCTGCCTCAGCAGATAGTGGGCTCCCTGTCACCAGAGGCTGGTTGCCAGGCGGATGGGCGAAGAGGGACCTCCCTGTCCTGTGGGGAGAGAGACTGCCCAGACCCTTCCTGCTCAGAGGTTCTCAAATACTCTTAATCCAAAGATAGTTTCCTGAGCCTTACGATTAGTTTTTTTAAGGGACCTTACTAATTTTCTGAGGATCAAAAGTTTTGGAGGATCGAAAGTTTTGTGAGGGGCCTTTGGGCAAGGGAATGCTCCGTTTCATCAGACGTGCGTCAGTATCTTCAAGTCAAGACTGCCAGAACCCTGCTGGGTGGCCTGCTGGGCGGGGCGGGGCGTCCTCGGGGCCCCTCAGAGCCAAAGCTCAGGGCACAGTGCCGGTGCTGTCTCTAAAATTTCATGTAAACTTCTCCAGCTTCTGGTATGTGTGTCAGCGTCCTAGCCTCTCCAACTTTCCCAAAAACATCTGAGCAGTTTCAGAAACTACCCTTGTGATTCCTGACCCAGCCTCGACTTCCTCCTGACAGTGAGCAGGCTGGTGGGTAAACAGCAGATTCCCGGGCCTGGCCTCCTGCAGGGGGTAATTCCAGGAGCCTCTAGGTGGCTGAGACTCCATGCCCTGGGCTGCGGCCGACCTGTCCTCTGCCCACAGGCCCCTCTCCAAGGCCCCTCGTGTGTTTATAGGAGTCTGAAAGCCCCGGGGAGAGCAGGCCAGCGGACCCAAGTTAGGGCAGCTTCTCCTTCTCGTGAATTGCAAAGATCCTGAAATCTGGACTGAACTACTTGCTTTTCCAAGAATCCAGAAGAAGGCATTTGAATGCCTGGGCGAAACCGCATTACTTTTTGACATCCATATCCCCACCGTGGGTGCTGAGCAGGGGAGCCCAAGGGCAGGGCGGGGGGCCGCCGGGATCTATAAGCGTGGCAGAGCTGGGGAAGGTGCATCTTCATTTCCCAGGACACAGCAGCAAGGATCCAGGAAGGGCCCACGGCTCCCCTTCAGCAGGCCATTCTCCAGGAGGGCAGCCGGGTGGGCGGGGTCTCCGGCTGGAGCAGGACCCCGCAACTGGAGCATCTACAGACATCTGGGTCCCAAGATGCTTCCCACTGGGAGAACTGGTGGGGACATTTTGAGACAGTTGACCCCAGGCCCTCAGCCCACCGTGGGGGCTGCAGCATAGGGAGGGGCTGGAGGCACCAGGAGGGTCTCGCTCAGCCCTAGCAGGGCAGGAGGCCAGGCTGGGCACAGAGCACAGCGTGGCAGCTGTTGCCAAGATGGGGGATGATGCCTCGTCCCTTGGCTTCCCCACTGACTCAGGAGAAACCACCACAGGCGCTGGCTCGGTGCCCATGGGGGCCACACCACAGTAACTGGGGGCTGCTGGCGTGGCAGCAAGGTCAGGGGGGCACTGCTCCCGAGGCCCCGGGCAAGAGAAGCAGGCCGAGGGGTCTGTGCCTCACAATCTCTGCCGCCAGTGAGCTCCGGCCCTGGCGGCGTGCGTCTGATGCTCCGGGCTCCGAGGGCGTCTTCCTGGCAGTGGTGGGAGACGGGGCGCCCAGTCCCTGCTGTCTGCCTGCTGCTCCAACACTGCCGTGCGGATCCAGCCCCTGGGTTGTCTCCACGGCACGAGCCGGGCTCCCCCGGGGTCTGGGCTGGGGGGGCAGCTGGGCGGGGCACAACTGGAAACCACCAGAAGCCCCCTGCCCAGGCTGGTCTTCCACCGGATGCCGGAACCTCAGTTCGGGCCACACAGGCCTCTGCTGCCAGCCTGGTGCCACTAGTGCCACCCTGGCCTCTCCGGGGCCACCCAGCTGCCCTCTCAGCCCCAACCCAGACCAGGCCTCATTTCTCAGAGACAGTCATGGGCAAGGGGGCCTCCTTTCCTTCCTCTTCTACTGAGAACATGACGTCCCCGCAGCTGCCCAGAGGCGGCTCTGTCTCCTGCTCCGGGAAGTGGGGGTATGCGTGGTCCCCTTCCAGATCCTCCTCCAATTCAGGCCCCGTCGGCCCCGCCAGGCCCCGGCCCTCAGGCACCTCGGTCCTCACGGTCCCCACAATCACTGTGTCAGCCTTCATGATGTAGATTTTCTCTGTAAGCAAAAGGATGGGTTGAAGTGAGGGAACAGGAGCCCTGGCTGGATGGAGTGAGGAGGCAGAGGTGGGTGCAAGCCCCAGCCTCGTCACTCCTACTGTGTGGCCTCAGGCAGATGACACAATCTCTCCGATCCACGGTAAGCCCCACCAACCTCACAGGTGTCCTGAGGCTCAAAGGAAATAAAACAGCTAGAAACCATGCACTGAGAAGTTAAGCACTGGCCCGGCCCGCCTGCTCCTTGTGGGAGAGGCTCACGGTCTCCTCCAGTTTCAGTGGGGATCTGGTAGGGAAGGAGAGAGTAAAGCTGGGAGAGAAAGCGAGCCCTGGGGAGAGAAGCTGGTAAGTGGCAGCCCCGGGAAACTCCAGAGGAGGTTAGCCGGTGGCAGACACTGTCCAGACACCCTCCACGCGTTACTCCCGAATCCTCACATCCCGGCTGCCAGGGAGAGAGTCTAGGATTGTCCCCGTGGACAGATAAAAAACCTAAAGCCCCGAAAGGTTAAAAGACCTGCCCAAAGTCACCAGGTAGTTAGAAGTCTCAGAAGAAACCCCCACCTGACTGGCCACCCTTTCCGCTCCTACCCACGTGCCTAAATCAGAAACCAGGGGTGACGGACTTGTCCCGGTTTGCCTGGGGGAACTCCTGGGACATGGCCGTGACAGTCCCGAGCCCCATGAACCTCTTAAGGTCCAGGTAAACCCAGGCAGCCCTGGGGCGCCTGGGTGGCTCAGTCGGTTGGGCGTCCGACTTCAGCTCAGGTCATGATCTCGCTGTCCGTGAGTTCGGGCCCCCCGTCGGGCTCTGTGCTGACAGCTCAGAGCCCGTTCACGCTCTGTCTCTCTGTCTCTGAAAGATGAAAAACCTTAAAAACAAAATGAAAAAAAAAGAAACCTCAGCCCTGTTGATAATTAGCCGCAGCCTGGGAGTCTTTCTCGGGGCCGTACCTCGGGTCTTCAGGTGTTCGCTACGTGTTTCCCATCGCCCACCCGAGGCCTTCACAGCTGTGCCTGAGTAGCACGTAGTAGGGCTGCTGGTGTATGTTGCTTGGATGAATCAGCAGCACACCCCATCAGAGGCATGATCCTCTAAGGGTCGTACCACCATCTATGGCTGGGGCTTTGGAGGCTCAGGGGAGCTAAGTAAGCCGAGAAGCGAGGAGCCTTTACCCGGCCCAGCTACATGGCCTTGCACTCAGGGCCTCCCAGCAGCCCAGCCCCGTGACTATCTCTGGAGTCTGAATGAGGAAGCTCAAGAAGGAACTTGAAAGCTGGGGTGGAGCAGGACACTGGGATGGAGCAGCCCACCCGGGGCTCTAGAATCCAGGCAAGTTATCTTGGTGGGAAGTGAAGGGGCTCTCCCTGCCTGGTGCCCTGGGGGCGAGGGATAAAGCTCAAGCTGCAGTTTGGTCCCCCGGGGGGGCTGGACAGGGCAGCAGGGGCCCCTCTGGGATGGTATGAGAAGGACAAAAGGCTCCTGAGAGGACCTCCAAGGCCTTCGCTCCCAACCACCACTCTTGCCAGCAAGGCTAATAGGCCAGCTGGAGCAGACGGCCCACTCCCATCCCGGGAGCTCGGCACCTCCCTCCACCTGCCCCCGCAGCTCCCTCCGGGGCACTGCCCTCGGCAGGGACTCAAACGTTCACATTAGGACTTCTTAGGAAATTTAAAGGAGATGTCTTTGGTGGTATTTCCCCAAATAACCCTCTTTTAAAAAATGGGGAAAAAACAAAAAACCTTGCTGAAAGCTACAATTCCAAAAGTTTTGTTTTCATATGAAAGACTCAGCCCCAAAGAGTTCAATCCACCAGCAACTGCGACAGAAATGTGGAGAACAAAGCCTCTTTGGTATTACCCAGCAACGGTTAACCCTCCAGAGGACAGAGATGGAGCTCACAGCCAGGTGGAGGGGTGAGGGGAGGGGGGAAGGGAGGCTACAAATAGTCACACTGCTGGGTGCTGAGGATACTAGGTCAGGAGGCCTGGGGTCTGGGGGAGCACAGCAGAGGGGCATCTGGTCTAGACAGGAGAGTGCAGAGGGCCAGGAAGACTTCCTGGAGGAGGAGGCAAAAGGGCAGGGGCCTCAGGAGCTCAGGAATTGACCAGATTTAAAGAGGGAGCTGCCCATCCAGGGTGAGGAAGCAGCTTCCACAGAGAAGCTCAGGAGGGAGGGAGGGCTCTGTGAACTCGGGAAACTGCCAGTGGGTAGGAGAAGCAGGCCTGTGGGGTCAGGAGGCAGGTGAGTCTGGTGGGGAGGAGGCAGTTGGTGACCAGTCTGAAGGCCAGAATAAGAGTCCTGGAATCCATCCTGAGAGCAACAGGGACCCCTGCCCCAGCCCCAGGGGTTTAAGCAGGGGTGCACAACGGACGGGCATATTATTTTGGCACAAACACTCTGGGTGTAGCAGGGTGGAGAGCAGAAGGAGAGGAGGCTTTGGGAAGCCAAAGCAGAAGGTCTGCCTGAGTGGGAGGGCGGCTGCAGTTCGGGAAGTGCTGACCTCCAGGCCGCCGTGGGCAAGCCAAAGGCTTCGGAGCCCCGCAGGTGGGGGGCCGTGTCCCAGCTGGGCCACTCAGTGGCTGTGTGACAGGGAAGATCTCTTCACGCACCCACCCCCCCCCCCCACCAGCGGCAGTGTCCCCAGTTATAAAAAGAGGAGGAAGACACTGTCCTCAGAGGCCATGGGACACCGAGAGATGACTTTCACCTAGACAAGTGGCAGGTCTTATTGTCACCGGCACCTTTCAAGGTGTCCTCCTTTCCCTTCACGGGGCTCTTTGCTGGGGGATGGGGCGGCGTCCACATCTCACCTCAACAACAGGCACCAGGCAGGGGAGCCCCTTCCCCCACCTTCACCCCCACCCACCAGGACAACCTCCCACGCATGATTCCACGTCTCGCAATGGCCCTATGAGGCAGAATAAGCACTATCCCTGTTTTACAGACATTTGAATTGGGGTAACGAGGGGGAACAGCCTTCGTAATATACCTAAGCATGCTTTAACTCTCTCACAACAAGCATCTCCTGCTTCCAAGGGCCTCTTCCTCGCTGGGCCTTCGCGCCCTAGGGTCTGTGGTTCCGGTCGGGGGCACTGGACCCTGAGCCAGTGCCCATCTCCCTGCTGCCCCCTCGGCCCTGACCACACCCCAAATCGGCAGACTCACCGATCCTGTTGTTGGTATGCTCTGAGGTTACCCGGGGCTCGGGAAGGTCCCTGGGGGACGGGGGGCTCCCGGCCGGGCTGGCATCCAGCAGCCGCATGCTCTGCAGGCAGGCTTCCCCGTTGGGGCAGGTCTCCACGGCCGGGGGGCCCATTAATCCCAGCTCCTCTGTGCCCGGCTTGGCCACCGATATGCAACTCCTCAACTGCTGTGGACACAGAAGATGGGGAGTTGATGCGGGGTGCCCCAACCTCCCCTCGGGCTCTGAGCTGGGAAGCCCCTGTTTCTTCATGTCTGTAGACCCCAGTGGGTCTCCCTCTCTGCCTTAAAGCTGCCACACACCACCCAAGGCTTCTCAGCTGTTTTTTTTTGTTTAATGTTTATTTATTTTTGACAGAGAGAGAGAGACAGACCATGAGCGGGGGAGGGGCAGAGAGAGATGGAGACACAGAAGCAGGCTCCAGGCTCTGAGCTGTCAGCACAGAGCCCGACGTGGGGCTCGAACTCATGAACCGTGAGATCATGACCTGAGCCGAAGTCGGACGCCCAACCGACTGAGCCACCCAGGTGCCCCAAGGCTTCTCAGGTTTGAGAGCCTGATGTCCCTGTGGAGAATTTTAGAAGTCGTGTTGCTTTTAACTTGTACTAAATGACAGTAGCCAGCATCCCACACTGCACTCATCAATGCATCACTCAGTGCGACGCACTGAGAATAGCCCCCTCCCCATTTTACAGGTCAGGAAACAGAGACGCAGAGGAGTCAGGGAACTTGCTCAGGTTAGTTAGTAAGTGTTTGGGCCAGTACTTGAACCCTGGTGCCTCGCTCCAGAATCCATGCTCATAAAGCACCTGTTGGTAAGTGTGCGCTCCAGACCCACCCCAACTCCCCAGCCCTGACCTCCTGGGACAGCGGTCGTTCATGATTACATCAATGCGTTCTGTACATTTTCAGGAAAATGGTTTAGTTTTTTACTTTTATAAGTAAGCATAAAGGAGAAGTGGTCTCATGAAATGTTCTGGGTTTTTTCAGTTTATTTTTGAGAGGGAGGGAGACAGAGAGAGAGAGAAAGAGACAGCACATGAGCACATGGGGGAGGAACAGAGAGAGAGGGAGAGAGAGAATCCCAAGCAGGCTCTGTGCTCATAGCCTGACTTGGGGCTCGATCTCATGAAACGTGTGATCATGACCTGAGCCAAAACCAGGAGTCAGATGCTTAACCACTGAGCCAACCAGGCGCCCCTCATGAAATCTTCTAACACATACTAGTTAGGGAATGAGTCTGAGTAATTCACAAAGTATATCTACATAACCCCAAATATTCTTTTATATTAATTTGAAGTCCAAAAGATGGCATTAAAAAATTTTTTTTTCAATGTTTATTTATTTTTGGGACAGAGAGAGACAGAGTATGAACGGGGGAGGGGCAGAGAGAGAGGGAGACACAGAATCGGAAACAGGCTCCAAGCTCTGAGCCATCAGCCCAGAGCCTGACGCGGGGCTCAAACTCATGGACCGCGAGATCGTGACCTGGCTGAAGTCGGACGCTCAACCGACTGCGCCACCCAGGCGCCCCAAAGATGGCATTTTAAACAAGTTACTATAAAAGCACTGACTCCCGTGGCCAAAAGATGTTTGGTTATCTTAGAAATCATTAAATGCCTTGTTCATGAAATTTCCTGGTATTGTAATAGCCACTTATCTGACCCAAGCATATTTGAATGTGACCTCCCATAATTTGAAACTGAACTCACACTGTGGTTCTATTATATTTAAAGACTAAAGGATGGAAACCTTTCTCCAAGGGTGAAAGTCTGAGTCAAAAGAAAGTCATGGGTGGGTGAGGGGGGACGCCTGAGTGGCTCAGTTGGTTAAGCATCCGACTCTTGATTTTGGCTCAGGTTTCACAAGTTTCTCAAACAGTTTCACAAGTTTGAGCCCCACGTGGGCTCTGTGATGACAGTGGGGAGCCTGCTTGAGATTCTCTCCATCCCTCTCTCTCTGCCCTCCCCCACCTGCATGCATGCACACTCTCTCAAAATAAATTTTTTTTAAAAAGGGTATGGAAGACTTGATCAAAGAAAACAAAAATAGGTGAACCATACACACATGAGACTCATCCATATGTCCTGCCCTGTCCCTCAGCTCCCGATGGCAACACCCCTGCTCTTCCCCCCCAAAGGTTGCTCCTGGAGGCTGGGTGCATAGCAGGGCACCAGGCCAAGCCCAGTGAGGACCAGGTGTCGAAGCCCCATCTGGGGTAATCATAGGATCAATGGTAAAGTTTGCAAAGCCTGGCCTAGCGCCTGCCCACAGCAAGTTGCTTGTAAAAGGCAGGTGAAGAGGTCCTTAGAGCCCAGGGTACCAGCTTTGGAGCCATACAAACCAGGGTTCAAATCAAACCAGGGTTCGCTGATCTATTTTCCAGCTGTGGAGTATCCTTTTCCCATCTGTGCCTCTGTTTCCTCTTTTGTAAAATGGACCACAGCACCAACCTCTGAGTGTTGTACGGCCTACCCAAGGTAACTTTAAGAGTCACAAGCGAGGTGCCTGGCTCCTGGGAAGTGCCCATGTGTGATGGCTACATTTTCAGAGTCATGCTCTGGATTTGCCATCCCAGCTGTGAGGATGAGAGCCACAGAGGAGTGAAGGAGAAAAGGGGAGGTCAGCATGGCCTTCCTCTGACCACACCTGGCACCCAAATTGGCCCAAACCAAATCCACGGCCCTTCTGGAAGAGTCCCCAGCAGGGTGAGCCGGGAGCCAGAGGCAGCTGAGCGGGTGGGGCTCCCCATCCACTGCCAGAGCCTGGCTTCGCCCCGCTGTGCTCAGAGCATCCCACGGGGGGCAGACCCAGCCTGAACCTGCGGGGGCGGGGGGCGCACCCCATCACTGTGGTTGGGGAATGACCCACAGCTCTCAGAACTGGCAGATCTGCTAGCGAAGGAGTCAGAGTTAGGGGCACAAAGCCAGGGAGGCGGGGCAAAGAAGGGCTACTTACGGTCAGGTTCCTCCTGGGCCTGGAATCTGCAAAAAGAAGCAGAGCAGGGACTTCACCAAGGAGGGTCTGGGAGCTACCTGGTCCCGTCCCAGCCCACGCATGGATGGCGGCTGACACTTATTAGGCCCTCGGGCTGGAGAGCAGTGGATGGCTTCAGAGTCCGCGCCGAACCCTGGGCACAGAAACTCATTTCCCAGCGCTCACTTCTGTAGCGGCAATGGGAGAACTGGGAACCACCTCTCCCCCAGCCACTAAGCCAATCACAGTACTGACGCCCTCCCCCAGCCCACGGGCTCAGAAGTTGGTTTGTGGCTGCGGACACCATCTTGTAGCCCCCAGGGTCTAGAGAGCCCAGGACTCCTCAGAGCCCTGTGCAAAGGTCTCACGGAAGACCTCAGGGCTGGTAACAGAGCAGATAACCGATCCTGAGGACCTCTGCTGAACCTGCTCCGGGCATACCGAAGCCAGGCGACCCTGGAGGCCTTCTGTGGGAGCTCGGTTTCTACGACTCGTGCCTGGAAGAGCCCATATGACCACCTTCAAGGAAGACAGCTGCTCATCGTCAGCCTGCCACCTACCATCCCCCTCTGGTGGGCTCAGGAGGCACAGACTCAGGGATTCTCAGGGCACAACTACTTCTTATCCCAAACCCCCACCCCCAGGTTTTCTCTCCTATCAAATACAGGGCCAGGTCACGGCCAAGCACATGTTGGTATTTAGCCACGGCCCACTGGCCATTTGAGACAGCTGGAGATGGTGCCCAGGCATCTGGTCTACCCGAGGGCAAATCAACTCCCAGCATAGACCGTCCTCTAGGGACACACAGCCCTTTAGGACTCCTGAGGAGGCCCTCTCGGAGACTTGGAATAGACTGCTGTGGGTGTGCACACCTGACCAGAGAGATCTGCTCTGAAAATGCCAATGAGCTAAGTCACCTCCAGAACACTCTCTGATTTCAGCAGCTCTGGGAACCATGAGCCCTGAATCCTAGCTGAAACACTTCACTGGAGGCCCACCAGCTGTGATAATACAAACAAGACAGGTGGTGTGAACATGCTGTGTAGACGTTAGGTCAGTTTGGGGAACACTCTTACATGTACCTTTTAAGCGACCATCAGCAAAGTGTCTAAAGAGGAAAGGAACCGGACACTAAAAAGTGTCTAAAGAGGAAAGGAACCAGAATGATGGTCAAAAGGAGAACGTGTATAAAATGACACAATTCTGGATTCTTGACTTAACAAATGCACCGAGTTTCCTTCCTCTGGTAACTGGTGTTCCCAGCACAGTGGTCACCTTGGGAGGCCGTGGCTCATTCCCACTAGGTAGCCACTGTCCATAGTCCAAGCCACCAAATGCTCTCTGGCCCGAGGCAGCTTCCTTTAAATGATGTCAGTGAGGCCTCATCTTTGTCCTTTAAGAGTGAGTTTGAGTTTTGCAAACAGCCAACTTTGATTTGGGTGGCCACAGGCAGAAAGTACAACAAAGTAACAAGATAAAATAAAATAAATAAAAGTGATAAAATTCAGTCTTGGAGAGGATGTGGGTAAAAAGGAACACAGCTTCTCATGCCCTGTGAACCGGTTCCATGTTTCTCAAGAGCCAACTGGCAAGGAAAACCTCACACCCTTTGACCCAGTAATCCCTCTATGGGTACACACCCTCAGGAAATAACCCAAGAGAACACAACAGGGTTGTGCACAGAGGTGGTATTTATAATAAACAAAAAACTGAGAACAAGCCAGATGCCAAACAATGAGGCTGCTTAGCAGTCTTGAAGCAGAGGCCTTCCTGGCAGGAAGGCCAACACAACATTACTTCACCTTCCCAGGCTCAGTCCTCATGTCTGGAAAATGGGACACATCATGCCAACTCTGGAGGGTTTTTGTGACGATAAATGAGATCTCAAACGTGAAGGTGCCCAATGATTAATCACCCGGAGAGCATGAACCTTGATGTGATATGATGAGAATGACCCTGTACTCACGTGGTCTTCCTCCCCTAACCCCTTAAGTCCAATCTAATAAGGAGGAAAATGTCAGACAAATTCCAACAGAGGGGCATCCTGCAACATAACTGGCCAGTACTCCTCAAAACTGGCAAGGTCATGGGGGTGGACGGGCGCCTGAGTGGCTCAGCAAGTTAAGCATCCGACTCTTGATTTCAGCTCAGGTCATGATTCCAGGGTCATGGGATCAAGCCCTGTGTTGGGCTCTGTGACGAGCATGGAGCCTGCTGAAGATTCTCTCTCCTGCTGCCCCCTCTACCCTGCTCATGCTCTTACTCTCTCTCTAAAATTAAAAAAACAAGACAAAACTGCCAAGGTCATCAAAAACAGGAAAGTCAGAAACTGTCCCAGCCCAGAGGAGCCCAAGCAGAGACAACAACTATTTGTAACATGGTTTCCTGGGTGGGAGCCTGGAACAGTAAAAAAAAAAAAAAAAAAAAAGGTTGGGCAAAACTAAGTAAACCTAAATAGAGTACGGACTTTATAAAGTCAATAGTAATGTATCAATATTGATTCGTTTATTGTGACAAATACGCCATGTTCACGTAAGACATTAATAATGGAGGAAACTGGGTGTGATAAGGGAACTCTCTGTACTATCTTTTCAAATATCCTATGCTCTAAAAAATGAAGTGTGTTTAAAATTTTTAAAAATTTAAACGTGAAAAAGGGACTGTGCCCAGGATGCTGCCTGGCATATAGTGGGTCCCGGGACATTAATGAGGCTCGGCACTCCATCCCACCAAAGAGAAAATCAGCATTTGATACTGACTCTTGGAAACAAGCATAAAATAACACAAAGGTGAAAAGGCAGAATCCAGAGGTACTAATGTCTGCCTACAGCTTCGTTACAACCCACGTGTGTGCTTTGATTAAAGACCCAGAACCAGTCATGCCAAGTACAGAGGTCAGATTTCGTAAGTGCGTTTCCCCTAAAAACGTTGCTTCAGTCCACTGTCTTCATTGATTTGTTCTCCTGCTTTGGGGAATAACTGTGATCTTCTTATAAACGCATCTGGCACCCTAGGACCTGAGTCCAGGGACACACTAAGCATCAGGGCCACCCCTGGGACAAGTGCATGGTATCCCTGGGGCCACTCTGAGGGCCACCGTAGCCGAGCACAGGGGTTCTGATGCGCACACTATCGGTCCCTTCCATCTTGGTCACTCTCCCCTTTCAGTCCCAGCCCCAATGTGGCCTGGGGTCCTGGCTGCTGCAGGCAGCAGACCGGACCCAGGGAAGGAGTCTGGCACAGAGGTTCAGCCTGGCTTTGGCAATGGGCACCCCGAGATTAAGACCTAGGCTCCTTGAAGACATACCCCATTCCAGGGCGAGGGCAGGAAAGTACCAGGCACGTTGGGATCATCTTAAAGAAGTGCTCAAAACAGGAAAGGATGGGACAAAAGGACACAGGAGCCAGCTTCAAGGGCCCCCACTGGCCTAATCTGAGGCAACTTGAACATCAAATTAAATAACGATGGCAACAGAATAAAATAGCAATCCAAGAGTCCAGGCAGCTATAAACACAAAGGAAAAAGAAGACAGTTTGTTGAGGAAGCGGTTATTCCCGGGGCCTCAAAGTACCCCCCCGAAAGTGCTTAGCACTTGCCAAGGAGAAAAGAGCGACTTGGTGCTGCAGCCTGGCAGGACGGATGCCACAGGGGAACTGGGTGTCACTCCTAGGATCTTCCCATCACCAGAGACGCATGACCGGACTCCAATCTCCAGTAGTGAGGATGCATCAGGCAAACCCAAGGTGAGGGACATCCACAAACCCAGGGCCGGGATCCCCAAAAGTGGCAAAGTCGTGAACATGGAGGAAAAGGCAGCAATGCACCCAGACTGAAGGAAACTCAAGAGACATGACAACCAGATGCAACACGAAATTCTGGATTCTTCTGCTATAAAGGATGTTGTTGGGATAAATGAAGAAAGTTGAAAGGGGTCTGAGAATTAGTTGGTGGTAAATGCATCGGTGTGAATTCTCTGATTTTGATGGTTTCACTACGTTGTCTAAAAATCCGCCCATGTTTGTATGAGCACAAGCTAAAGTATTTGGAGATGATAAGGCATTAAGTGGGCAACTTATCTAAAAAGGTTCAGAAAAAATTAAGTTCTTTGTACTGCATTTGTGACTTTTCCGTAAGTGTGTAATTGTTTCAAAACAACACAAAATGTTTTTCAACTTCCACCGGCCTGAAGTAGCAGATAATGACTTCAGTGTCATTAAAAGGAAGGATTAAAAGAATTTTAGTCAGTGTTTCTCAACCAGGCGTGATTCCCACCCCCAGGGGACAGTGAGCTACCTGAAGATGTGCCTGACTGTCACAGCTGGGAGGCGCTACTGGTATCTGGTGGGTCTACAGACCGAGGAAACTGCAGAACCTTCTACAACACACAGGACAGCCCCTACAGCAAAGGACGACCTGGCCCCACACGTCAATAGTGAGAGGCCCTTTGTACAAAAATCTCACCACCAACAGCAACAACAATATCCTGGTCATACTGCCTATTAACCAAGTGGCCTTAAACAGGTTCCTCCACCTTTCTGTGCCTCTGATTCCTGGTCTGTGAAATGGGAATAAAAATAGCAGATGCCTCACAGACCCCCTGTACACGTATGTGTTTTGCAAATGCCTGTCACCAAGGACATGTGCCATAAAGTCACATCAATTCAAGTGAAGGCTGGTAAAGCGCTGGGGCTCCAGGATAGGGAGGGCTGGGTCACGCATTCCCATCCTACTAGCCTTCCGTCCCCTGAAAGAACTGACACTGGTCTGAAGGCTTGGGAGAGCTACCACCGTTTCGGTATCCAGCACAGAGCCACTTGGAGGACGATCTAAATACACGAATGAGCAAGCACAGGAATGAAAGCCGCTTCCCCCCGTTAGCACCCATTGCTCGGGAGGGAATGGGGCATCCACCCCGCTGGTCCGTTCTCATCCTGGGCCCTGGGTGCTTATCTTGGCCTCGCCTTCCTTCCATCTCAGGCCTGGGAACCCCGGCCCCCCCCCCCCCACCGCCCCCTGCCCAGGGACCCACCGGAAGCCAGAGGGCCGAAAACAGCCCCAAACAGGATGGCCACCACTGAGTCTCAGAGCTTGGTTCCTTGTAGGTCTGGCTTCTTAAGAGGTGATTTTTTTTCTTTCTCTCTCTCTCTCTCTCTCTGTGGCAAAACTGCCATCAAGAAGGTTTGAAGAAAAAAATAAACTGACGGCAATGGAAATTTTAATACTAGAAAAATGTCAAGAAAGCAAACACAGGTTTCAATGAGACATTAGGGCTGACAGCTCATGGAAAAAGGCTTGAAACTATCAAAACACGAAAACCCCCCTTGCTAAGGGAGCACATGCACCTGCTGTGAAACTCATCAAATTCAAAACAGGCTTCAGTGGACAGGTTTTGTGCTCAAGTCAAAAGGCGGGCCACAGTGAGGGTCTCCAAGGGCCCTGGGGAGATGGGGGCCCGGGGGACAAAGGAGCTGTGACCTGGCCTGAGGCTGACCACTGGGCTCATGAGTGGACCCTGGGGGTGGACACAGCTTGGGGGGAGGAAGGTGGAGGTGACAGGTCTGTACTCCACAGACAAAGTCTACAATCTCAAGGACCACGCCTGAGCCTTGAAGGTTGTGTGGCCCCAGGCACTTATCCACCTTTTCTGAGCCTGGCTGCCTCCTTGTGGAATGGCGATCATCACCCACCTCCCTTGGGGTTTCTGGGTCAGTGAGACCCTCTATGGGAGCCTGCCTCGAAAGCAGAAAGGGAAGCTCAGACAATTCCCATTCACTCCTTCCCCGATGGTCAGGGCCCAGCACACAGTAGGTGCTCAATCAGTGTTTATGGAGTGCTGATGAAGACCTTGTCCTGCCTGGAAAGGGCTGCACAGGGGAGAAAAGGCACTTGGGGCACAGATGGCTGGGACCCCTCCCCCACAACACACACACCAGGTGAGAGCTGGAAATAGGTCAGGGGTTCCAAAAGGCGGCCTGCAAAAGTTGACCCGGAAGCCGGGCAGGGATCAGAGAGTAAGGGCCAGGGAGGGCTTCAGAACAACCTAGAATTCAGAAAGCCCTGAGATTCCTGGTGAGGAAAAAGCCCTGAGATTCCTGGTGAGGCCCAACACTGGCCGGTCTGTCAGTCAGCAGTCCCCCCGCTGCACGGCCCCACCCACCACGCACTCCGCACAGCACCAACAGGCCCACCTCCACGGATCCACATGCCCGCCCTCCGAAGTCCCACTGTTCCTTTTACAGGTGAGGAAACGGAGACAGGAATTAAGAAACTCACCCGAGGCCATGTAGCTGGTAAGTGGTAGACCCAGGATCCCAGCCCTATCAGCCTGCCCTACAGACCACTATGCCCCTCGCTGCCAGCAGGAGAGGGGAGAAAGGAAGGCGTAGGGAGGCTCTGAAGGAGTGGAAGGCGTTCAGGAATGCCTCTCCGGGAGGCACCGTGGAGGAAAGAACGAAAGACGAGGTGGATCTTAAACCTTCCTGCCAGCCCTCTGGGAGGACTGTGAGGCACAGGCCGTGCAGTTCCCACCCGCATCACATTCCTGTTACAGATGAGGCTGCGGACAGAGGGAGCCCAAACCCAGAGCCCAGAGCTGCTGTGTCTGTGTGGCCCGAGCAGCCCCTCTGGACACGTGGACGCTTACCCACAGGCTCCAGCGTGGGCCGGAAGGTCTGGGCAGGGTAGCACAGGTGGAGCTCTGAAAGGACAGCAGAGTTGGCTGGAGGTGCCAGCCTCAGGAGGCAGGGCAGGGCCCCAGCCAGACTAGTGCAGGGCGCCTGGCCCTTTCCAAGGCCCCCAGGACACATCTACTCACTCTGCTGAATCCACTTCCTGCAGGCCCTCCAGTGGCACAGGAGGAAGGAGATGGAGACCAAGACCACCACCAGGATCATGACCATCCAGAAGAGCACAGGTCCTGGAACACAGAGGCGGCCCTGCACTCTCCGCTCTGATGCGGGGGTGGGTGGGGGGGTGGGGGGGGGGCTGAGGTCTCCACCATCGCAGTGTGCCAGGGGCCCTGCTGCAACCACTTGGGACGGCCCTCACGAGCCCAGACTATGTTCTCCTTCTCCTGGGACACATGCCATGGAGGCTGGCAGGACCAGGTCCTTCCCTGAGAGGGGACTGAAACCCAGACCGTATATCTCCCTGGCACCAGGCCCTTATCGACCTGCCTTCCCTCACCTGGCTCTAGGGAGCCCATCGGGGGAGTTGAATAGTTGACAGAAGAGCAAACCATTTTTAGACAGTGAGAAATTGAGGAGTCACAGAGCCAGAGTGAAGGAACTGAGGTCCAAAAGGTTACCGTCTAGGGGCGCCTGGGTGGCTTAGTCAGTTGAGCATCTGACTTTGGCTTAGGTCATGGTCTCATGGTTCGTGGGAGTGAGCCCCGCATCAGGCTCTCTGCTGTCAGCACAGAGCCTGCTTCGGATCTTCTGCCCAACTCTCTCTGCCCCTCCCCTGCTTGTAGGCTCGCACTCCCTTTCTCTCCCTCTCTCTCTCAAAAATAAACATTTAAAAACAACAACAACAACAACAACAAAGAAGTCACAGTCTCAGTGGCCGTGGAGGAGGGCACGTGCCATGTGCGTCCCCCGACAGCCTGTGGCACTTCCGGTGTGGCCAGAGTCAGGGCGGGGGCGGGCAGAGTAGCGAGGCGGGTGACATGGGGAGTCTGGGAGGACTCCCAGCTACCATCCAGATGGGAAGCTCCATGAGAACATAAACATGCTCAGCAAGCGTTCCCTGAATATCACGTAGGCACCGCTACCATCTCCATTTTTACAAACGAGAGAAACTGAGGCTTGGGAAGATTAAGTAACTCACTTAAATGGCAAAGGGTAACAGAAGAATCATGGCTTGGGCCAGGCCAGGGTGGCTCCAGCACCTACATGCTTAACCGCTAGCTAAGTATATACTTTTTTACAACCTAGTACTTAAATTGCTCCTTTTATCCTTTGTCCCTTATGAAGATCGCATACCTAGTTACTGATTTTTAAGTCCAGTTTCAGATGTTAAAAAGTAGCATGTGCCATATGTGTGCTTTTCAAACTTTAACGTGCATAGGGATCTCCGGGGGCCATGTTCAAATGCAGAGTCTGGTTCAGTGGGGCTGGGGTGGAGCCCACAATTTGCTCTTCTGACAAGCTGCTGAGAATGCAAGTCCAGGATGGGCGCTTTGAGGACGGCTGGCTGGAGAACTGCCGCCCCCTAGTGTTTGGCACCAGAACTGCAAGCCCTAAAATGAAGCGCACTTGGAATGTCTGTCTAGAAGGAGCCCTGTCCGTACTGGACTAGCTGCATGTATTCCAATGCTTGCTGCCCTGCGTGCTACATGGCGTTACAATTTTACAGGTGAGAAAACCGAGGTTCAAAGGAATTAAGCAACTAGTCAAGGTCATATATCCATTCACCAAATACGTTTAATCGTCTCTCGTGTTTCTTCTTCCTTTTAAAAAAAGTTTTATTTAAGTGAACTAACTCTGCATCCAACATGGGGCTCCAACTCATGACCCTGAGATCAAGAGTTGTATGCTCTACCAACTGAGCTAACCAGGTACAAACATTTTCTGAGTAGCAATTACAGGCCATGGGGATGAAGCCGTGAACAAAGTCCCTGCTCACAAGAACTGAGGAACAATCGCTAGCTAGTGACCGAGCCGCAGGCCCAGCTCAAGAAGCCAGAAACCTGGGGTCAACCTTGGGCTCCCCCACCCAATGGATGCTGCTGCCCAGGAAGAAACCTCCCTCCTCCTGGCCTCCTGGGAGGCAGACCCTCCTTTCTGGGGGGTAATCATTACCTGAAACCAGAATGGGCTTTCCCGTGGAGGAGAAAGAGATAGGAGAGCTCGTCGATGTGAAGGTGTCTCCCCACGTGTGGGTGTTGCCCCCTCCATGCTCCTTACTGCCTTGGGGGTCTGCTGCGGAGACCGGAGAGGCCGTGGCGCTGCCAGGAGAGAAGCCAGAGGTAAGACTGATGATTGAGATGGAAAGAGGGAAGTGTGTACACAGGAGCCATTCCCAGCCACCCCAGCACAGAAATGGGCACACATCCTCCAAGATGACTTGTGAGCTCGGCACAGAGATCCAGCCCAGGCCCCACCTCCAACCCCAGCCCAGCTTCCCCCAAAATGGACCAGGGAGTCACCTGGTGGGCGCCTTGCTGTCCTCTGGGTTGGTGCTGCACTCGGGGTGGGCTTCTAGGGGAGGCGGCGGCTCATGGGTGGCATCCCTCTCAGCTGTACCTGCAGGGAGTGGTCATAGAATCAGTGTCAAGGAGCCTTACCCAGCAGGACTGGTAACTTCCAGGGAAGCGACACGGTGAGGCCGGAACGACACTGCAGCCAGGCAGACCCAGGTTTGTGTTCTGGCCCTGTCTCCTTCCTTCTCTCCCTCCTTCCTTCCCTCCATGCAACAACTCTTTACTGAGCACCTACTGTGTACCAGGGACCGTGTTGCAGCCTGGGACATAGCAGTGCACAAAACCGATCCCTACCGTCAGGGGCTTGCAGGCTGGTGGGGCTCAGAGACATGATGCAGGTGTCACACGAAGGCACATGGGCTCCCTTTAATGGGAGACTCAACTTCATCTGACCAGGAAGGCTTCCCTCGGGAGGCTGTTGCTGGGATGTATGTATGGGTAGGGCCATCTAAGCAGAGGAAATTGAAAGTGGGGAGGCTCACAGGTGGGGGAAGGAAGAGAGCGAGCGCATAGGGGAGGCTGGTGTGCAGCTGCATTAAAACGTGTACACGACTGTCTGTTGTACATGATCATTCATAGCTGTGTTCTTCATCACAGCCAGAAGAGTGGACACAACCCAAACGCCCATCAACTGGTAAACGGGTAAATAAAATGTATATCAGTACCACAATATTGTGTGGACATAAGAGGAACAAAAGCACTAATACATGTGACGGCCTGAATGAACCCCAAAAGTATTAGTCTGAGTGAAAGAACCCCGATAGCGAACACATATTCTGGAAATGTCTAGATAAGGCTTATCTAGAGGGACAGAGAGTAGATCAGTGCTTGTCCAAGCTGGGGAGGGACATGGGGATTGACCACTAAAGGTGTGAGGTCTCTTAGATCGTGGTGATGGTTTTGCAACTTTGTAAATTTCTTTACGATCATTGAATTATACGCACCTAAAACCAGCAGATCTTGTGGTATGTAAAGTATACTGCAATAAAGCTGTTCTTAAAAAGTGGGGCTTTTTCAGGGTGCCTGGGGTTCAGTCGGTTAAGCATCTGACTCTTGATTTCAGCTCAGGTCATAATCTCACAGTTTGTGAGTTGGAGCCCCTGGTTGGGCTATGTGCTGACAGCACGGAGCCTGCCTGGGATTCTCATTCTCTCTCTCTCTCTCTCTCTCTCTCTCTCTCTCTCTCTCTGCCCCTCCCCCACTCTCTAGCTTTCTCTCTCTCAATAAATCAATAAATTTTTTAAAAATTGTCTTTCTCCCCAAAGCAACGATTTAATTAGCGATATAGGATGGGATCCGTGTGGTAGGTTGAATCAAGGGTCCACTCCTCGGGTGGAGGAGGGGTCTGTGTTTCTGCCTCACCAACGCCATGCGACTCTGACGGTCAGGGGAGCAGGACGGAAGTAAGAGAGTGCCTGTTTCCAGCCTGGGCATTTCTGCACTTCCACTGCTGCCATAAGGAGATGGTGCTCTGGGCAGGGAGGGGCCCCCGCTGGTCCCAGAAGTATGAGAAACGCTGGAAGCAAACCCACACCAAACCAGTAAGCCCAGGCAAGTCAGCAGAGTGCCCAGCTGACCCACGGAGGAGCAGGAGCTGAACACTGAAACGTCAACGTTGTTTGTCAGCCGCTATTCCTGCAGCTAGAGCTGGCTGAGACGGTCTGGTTCGTGTCTCAAAAGATCAAAGTGAAAAGGCTGCTCCTTATCTCCAGCCAACTTCGGTCACATAGGAAGGTGGCCTGGTGGCTCTAAGTCTTCTGACTTTATTTAAAAGAGAAACCTGGGGGCACCTGGGGGGGGCTCAGTAGGTTAAGCATCTGACTCTTGATTTCAGTTCAGATCACGATCTCACAGTTTGTGAGTCCGAGCCCCATGTCAGGCTCTGCACTGACAGTGAGGAGCCTGCTTGAGATTCTCTCCCTCTCTCTCTGTCCCTCCCCTGCTTACCTTCGCTCACTCTTTTATATAAATAACGGATAAATACATATAAATGAATGAATTTAAATACTATCCCCTGATATTTAAATGTAGCCTCAATTTTTAAAGTCTTTCTTTTGAAATCAACTTCATTAAGGCATAATTTATATAGAAGAAAATGACCTCTAAGTGTACAGTTTGATGAGTTTTGAAGAATGTATACATCCATGTAACTCTAACTCCATTTAAGATCTACAACATTCCCATCATTCCAGAAAGTTCCCTAGTGCCTTTCTGCCATAAATCCTCCCCTCACATTCAGGAAACCACTGGTCTGCTTTATGTCACTGTAGATTGGTTTGCCTGTTCTAGAATTGCACAGGATGGAATCAGGCAGTATGTACTTTCTGGTGTCTGGCTTCTTTCACTCAGCATAATATTTCTGAGATTCATTAATGTTGCACAGAGCAACATGTTCCATGGAACAATGTTCCATTGTAGAGATGTACCACCATTTACCTACTCATTCACCAGCTGATGGACATTTGGGTTGTTTCCAGTTTGAAGCTATTATAAATAAGGTAGCTCTGAATGTTCTCATACAAGTCTTTGTGAGGACATAGAATTTCATTCCTGTTGAGTACCTTGGAGGGAGAAGGTTGTGTCACTTTGCTGACCAGACAGAACGTTTTTAAGGACCATTCAGAGATGATCTCCTCTGATCTGACCCAGCCACCTCTTTTTTACAGATGGAGAGAATCATAGAGCCAGAGCTAGAGCCAGAAGGCAGGGCTCCTTAGTCCCAGCCCAGAGCACACCTCCTGCCTTGGGAATGAGCACTTTCTTACAAGTTTATAATTAACTACTTTTGTAGGGCTAAAAAAACTGGCCCACATTTGAAGCTGATCACTATCCCTCTTTACCCCCATGTTCCTGGTGACAGCACCCTTCCTCTGATGGGGTACAAAGCAAATCCCCCACCCACATTCATTTCCCTTCTAAAAAGCTCTCGTGCTGCCTCTCAGATTTTTCCTGAAACACCTTGAAGAGAAAGTGAAGCAAGGATTAATTTCCTTTTTGGATTAGTAGGGTCCTGAGGAACTCTCCTCTTTTGGCGGTCTCCAAATAGATGCTATGTCTTTCCACATGGCCACCAGACTATTACCTGAATTAGCTGAAGCCTGGAGGCTTTAGCCTATGAGGAACATGATGCAATTTGTTATTATAATTTCTATTTATTTGTAAATCAGTATTTGAATTACATTTAAGATGTCATTGGTTTCTTTTTTTTTTTTTTTTAATTTTTTTTTCAACGTTTATTTATTTTTGGGACAGAGAGAGACAGAGCATGAACGGGCGAGGGGCAGAGAGAGAGGGAGACACAGAATCGGAAACAGGCTCCAGGCTCTGAGCCATCAGCCCAGAGCCCGACACGGGGCTCGAACTCACAGAGCGCGAGATCGTGACCTGGCTGAAGTCGGACGCTTAACCGACTGCGCCACCCAGGTGCCCCAAGATGTCATTGGTTTCAACAAGAGTTGACTTTGAGAGGATTGGAGAAGTTCTTGTGTTCAAATATACCACTTATGGATACACGCAGGTAGCACCATGAGCAGAGAGCCCTCTGGCGTCTCTCTAAGGCAGCCTCAGTCTGAGCTCCCACTGGAATACCTGCTGGAATCCAGCAATAGAACTTCTCTAAGTGGAGAAGATGGACCCAGTGGTCTTTGGATGCTTCTCAACCTCTCTATGTGTACCATACCTTCCTCTTTCCTCCCTGGGTTAGTGACCCTCCCCTTTTCTTCCTTCTTTCAATCTGGAGGTAAACAGAAGGTATTGTTTAGCCACTACTTAGTCTGTCTGTGTTCTCTGGTAAGGGCCCACTGAAAGAGAAAAAAAAAAAAAAAAAAAGACCCTACCTACTCTTTGTCCCAATTTAGAACTAAAAAGGATATTATTTACCAGATTGAAATATCTCTCTTTAAATCCAAACACCTGATCCTTGGGCCATCTGAAGGAGAATGGTCATAGCATCAAGATAAAATGGATTATCTTTTTGTATATCCAACAAGTGCTTAAAGTCAGATGAAATTTTCATCTTCATATTCAGAGTGTAAATTTCTTGTCAGCTTTCTATTTTCCCTGGAGTTTTCAATTGCCTTTCTTTTTCTTGTTGATAAAAGAATAATGTGCCTTCACCATATGAAGTTTTTCAAAGGTACTACTCATAAAGTTCACTGCAATTCTTTCTTTCATTCCTGCAGACAAGACAATTCACTGGAGCCCTCTTTCATTTTACCCCTCTTATCTGGTTCAATTGGTCTGCAACACAGCTATCATTCTGGGACTTCCCTTTCTTGCTCCCCTGGGACAGAGTCACTGTTTTCTAGATTCATGGATTTTTGTCCCTCATTTAGCTGGATTACGTTTTCAAGTAACTTTCTAAAAGAGGACACGAGGGAAAATCTTTCTACCCTTTTATGTCTGAAATGTTTTTGTTCTGCTCTCAAACTTAATTGTATCTTAACTGAAAATTCTAGGTTCAGAACTAAGAAGGAGCTGATGTGGTCTGGTGGAGAGTACTCGGGGCTAAAACTCAGGATCCTTGTGTTCCAGCTCTAGCTCTGGCCCTATGATTCTCTCCATCTGTAAAACTAGGTTGTGAGATCAGATCACAGGTGGTGGCAGGTTCTGAATTGACCCTTAAAGACATTCTGTGTGGCCAGCACAGTGACCCAGTCATCCCTCTCCTGGGTATTTACTCATGAGAGACAAAAATATATATTCACACAGAGTTGTACAAGAATGTTTGTAACTGCTGTATTCATAATAGCTCCAAACTAGAGGGTTGCCTGGGTGGCTCAGTTGGTTAAGCATCTGACTCTTGATCTTGGTTCAGGTCATGATCTCATGTTTTGTGGGTTCTAGCCCCACGTCAGGCTCTGTGCCTACAGCCTGCTTGGGATTTTCTCTCTGCACCCCTCCCTCCTTCTCTCTCTCTCTCTCTCTCTCTCTCTCTCTCTCTCAAAAATAAATAAATAAAATTTAAAAAATAGCTCCAAACTGGAAATAATCCAAATGTCTGTCAACTAGTGAATGAATAAATAAATACGTCTATTATGTCTAGGTGTGGGTAATCTTCATTCATCCTGCTTTGCTCTTGGTAAGTCCTTTCAGTCTGAAATCTTGTATTTTTCAGGTCAAGTATGCAAGGAAAGTTGGGGCACCGCTGTGGGTACAAGGCCCGGAGCACACAGTGACCAAGTCAAGAGGGCCATGAGAAATGGGAATGCAGAAGACCTAAGACTTGGGGTTGGGAGTGCACCGAGGGAATTATGGCACTTCTGCTGACATGAGGCCTGGGATGTACCAGTGTCCCCACTGGAAGGGCCATGCCAAGGTAGTCACCAGACCTAGGCTGGGGCTATGAGGTTGCAAGGGACCGTCGACTCTGGGAGCATGACTGGGACCAGATGACCCCACCCATGCGCCCTGCTGAGAGAGTGTGCAGCAAGAGCAAGAAAAAGTAAATGCAGCCAAGAAAAGCCTCTTCTTCCTGCAGGCTCCCCAGCACCCTCTACGGGCAAAGCTTAACATCACGTTCACGAGGAGAAATGCGGAAAGAGTCTAGCCCTTTACTGCACAGCAGGAGCTGAGGGTGCAATGAGAGTTGACAGGCCACCATTGGTAACAGGCACACTTTCTAAAAGCCTTTTTTTTTTTGGTCCTCTATTTTCTTACTATTTCTTTTTCATTGCGTTCTGTTCTTGCTTTATGGATGTAGCAACTTGAATTTTTCTGTGGACACTAGTTTACTTATTTATTTATATTAAGTTTATTTCTTTTGAGAGAGTGAGTGGGGGAGGGGCGGAGAGAGAGAGAGAGAGAGAGGGTGGGCGGAAAGAGAGAGAATCCCAAGCAGGCTCCACGCTGTCAGCACAGAGCCCGACGCAGGGCTCTATCCCATGAAGCTCTGGATCATGACCTGAGCAGAGATCAAGAGACACTTAACGGACTGAGCCACCCAGGCACCCCCTGTGGACACTAATTTAAATTTTTAAACTTCTATTGCTATTCCTGAAGAAATTCCTATTGCTCCATCCATAGTAAATGTTTCTGTCAATGTATCTTGCTATTCTCTTTCATGCTGCTGGTTTTCCTTACCAGTCTGGATATTTTTACTGCTCACTCATATTTACTTAAAAAGAACTACACTGAGGGGCTCCTGGGTGGCTCAGTTGGTTGAGCTTCTAACTTCAGCTCAGGTCATGACCTCGCAGTTCTTGAGTTTGAGCCCCATGTCGGGCTCTGTGCTGACAGCTCAGGGCCTGGGGCCTGCTTTGGAGCCTGTATCTCCCTCTCTCTGCCCCTCCCCCACTTGTGCTCTGTCTCTTGCCCTCTGTCTCTGAAAAATAAATTTAAAAAATAATAATAAATAATAATAATAAAAAGAACGATGCTGAATATTCCAGCATGTCCTTTTCAAAGTGGGTCTCTTCCCTGAGTAGGAGATCCACCCAGGAACTCTGGGCCCATGGGGGGAGTGCGGGCTGGCAGTTTTCACTCCAGGGTGACTCGGCAGTGGTAGCCTATCGACAGGGCATACTCCCAAATACACAACCAAAGAGGGCTTTACAGCAGGGTGGCAGTACCCCCACGTTTCCCTAGATATTCCTTCAGTATCTTTAGCCAAAAAGTTGACAATTTTCACCAGAGGATGAAAACTCAGGTACCGTCTGTTCAGACTGGTCAGTGTCCGTGGTAGGCCTCTGTTACAGGCTTTAATTTTTACTTTCAAGCTGAAGTTGCAGCCCTCTGTACCTTTCAATTCTCCACCTCGCTCCCATCCCATCCTGCCTTTCACTTGCCTGCTCTGAGCGCAGAGCTTCTGTGGGGTCTTCAAAGCAAGTTACCTCTCACATTTCCTGCAACACTGAATCCTGGGGGGAGCTTTCCTCCCCCTGGTTTCATCCATCACCACCCTTCCCTCTGTTTTCTACCTTCTAGAGATTTGCTGAAATCTCATCTACTGATTAACCGTGTTTTGGGTTTTTTCCCCCACCATCAAGAATTTATAATTTTCTGCACTCTGGCAAATGTCTACCATCTTTTCTTTTTCCTTTTCTCTTTTTTCTTTCTTCTTCTTCTTTTTTTTTTTTAAGTAAGCTCTACACCGAACATGGGGCTTGAACTCACAACCCTGAGATCATGAGCACCATGCTCTACTGAATGAGACAGCCAGGCGCCCCAAATGTCTACCATCTGAGTTGGAACCATCTTCAAAAATTTCATTTATCTGTCTTGAGTCATGAAACAGCCTTTTAAAAACAAGTCAAAATTTTACAACCCAACACCTTCAGAAGGAAGAATTTTAAAAAATATTATCAGAATCTCTTACCAAAATGCCAAATCTAGACTTTTTCTTAAGTTTATTTATGTTTTGAAGTGCCTGGGCGGCTCAGTCGGTCAAGCATCCGACTCCTGGTTTCTGCTCAGGTTATGATCTCACAGTTCACGAGATTAAATCGAGCCTTGTGTTGGGCTCTGAGCTGACAGTACAGAGCCTGCTTGGGATTCCCTCTCTCCCCCTCCCTCTCTTCCACCCCCCCCCCCACAAATACATAAACATTTTTAAAAGTTGATTTATTTATCTTTTAGTAATCTCTACACCCAACTCAGGGCCTGAACTCACAACCCCGAGATCAAGAGTCACATGCTCTTCCAACTCAGCCAGCCAGGCGCCCCCAAATCCAGATTTTACTCCACTTACTGGATCTAGCTATTAAAAACCAAAGCCCAAACCTGACCTAGTTAACAGCTAGGGTTGAAGGTCATTTGCCTAGCTGGGGGTAGGGAAAAGTACAGCTATAGGGGCACAGACCTCAGCCCCTTGGCTGGGGGTACAGACTGCTTACCCTGGGGTTTGGTGGCCATGCCTGGTGGGCAGACGGGGCGGGTGACACAGTGGGCACAGGAGTTGGTGACTGGTGTGACACAGAACATGCCAGGTTGACATTCGCAGACACGAGAGGAGTTCCAGGTACAGGGTGTCTTCTCCACCAGGTCATCTAAGGGACACAGAAGGGTCACGGGGAAGGATCTGGGATGGCAAGGGCAGGGGCTCCAGAGAACCCAGGAGGGCAGAGAATTCCTTTGTCCAGAAGCAAATGCTCATATGACTCTTCCGTTGAGCGGATCTCTTGGCATGCTCAAAATAGTTATGCTAAGTGAAAGAAGGCAGGAAAAAAGAGTACATACTATGTGATTATGTTTATGGAAAATGCTAGAAAATGCAAACTCTTCCACAGTAACAGAAAGCAGAATGGTGACCTGGGAATGGACGCAGGGTGAACAGTGGTGGGAGGGATGATAAGAAGCACAAGGAAACTTTCTGGGGGGATGGAGAGTTCATCTACCTCGACTGTAGTGATGGTTTCACCACTACGTGCGTATGTCAAAACGTATCAAATGGCACACTTTAGACATCGCATTGCATTGCCTGTCAATCATACCTCAATAGAGCTGTTAAAAGAAAATAATCTAGAGGACAGGGTGAGTGGGCGTGCACATAGGTGGACCCACACTGGCCACGCCTTGATCATTCTTTAAAACTGGGGAATATTCCATAACCGTTCCTGACTCTTTCTGCTTCTCAAAGGTCTGACGTTTTCAATGACAGAAAGGGGTTTTCCCCCAAAATTAAAATATTAGAGGTTTTGTGAACAGAAAACATATAATAATGCATTTACATATGTTCAGAAATACTTTGTGTGCTGTATGTGGGTGAAAATAGAATTACGGCATTATTAGATTAGACAAATATGACTTGGTCATTAAGGGCTTTTCTCAGTCAGCAGGATACTGAAAAGACCTCTAATGATAAAGGACCTCACACTTTCTTCCTGAAACCTCCAGAGAGAGTGGGAAGCAGAGAGGCTCTGGAGAATTTGTGTGGAGGCCAAGAGTGAGCTCAGCAGTGAGAGAGGTGAGACAGGACAGTAATAGCTATTCTCATGATTATAGCTATTGATACCTTTGAGTGCCTGTGAGGCAGCATTAATACAATCGAGGTGAGGGGGTAGGACTCTTAGCACTCTGCTCAGATTAACCTGGTTTAACCTATTTAATTCCTGCAACAGCTCTCTGGGAGAGTACTATTATTATACCCATTTTACAGATGAGGAAACTGAGGCACAAGAAATTAAGAAACGTGCTTGTGTTTACGAGTGGAAAGGGGTAAAGCCAAGATTTGAACCCAGCCACTTGAGCTCCAGAGTCTGTGCTCTTAGCCCCTGTATTGCACCCACTGCTTTGCAAGGCTTCATCCTTAGAGCTAAAGGAATTCTCAGACCCACAGCCACCTCCTGCTTCTCTATCTGACATAGTGGCTATGACAGGTTACATTTGTCCAAAATGGCCAGAGCAATATTTTGGCCCCATCTGCTCGTCTACGCCTCTGCCACTTAGCCATCAAGAAGCCTGATTTCTTTTCCTTCCAATGACTCAGTGCGATTTGCGACTGCCTCAACAGGTAGAAACCGGCAGAAGTTACAACGTGTGATTTCTGAGGTAACGTCAACAAAAGGGATATGGCTTGTGCCCACCCCTCCCCCTTCCTTGGAGTCCAGCCACCAGGCCTTGAGGAAGCCCAAAGTCAGCCATATACAGGCCAACACAGAGAGCATCAAGGCCCCAGCCTGCAGTTGGCATCAAACCCGGACCCATGAATGAAAATGCTTCCAGATGATTCCAACCTCCAGCCTTCACACTTTCCAATGGAAACCCCAGACCTCATGTAGTGGAGGCCAGCTGTCCCCATAGTGCCCTGTCTGAATTCTGACCCACAGAATTCACAAGTACAAAGAATGGTTTGTTTATTACCACAAGCTTTGACAAAACTTGCTATGTGGCCTCATAACTGGAACAGTGGCCCCTGGTGACCACAGTGTTCTTTCCTCTTCAGGCCTCCCTGGACTTCAGGCTGCATTGTTGTGTGAAAGAAACTCTGGACAAGGAGACATAATCACACATTCCTCGGGTCCTGGGCAGCTTCCCCTGCCCTCTGTGGCCCTCACAGACGTCATGGGGCAGCTGGTATTGCCATAAGTGAGCTGACTGTCTACACAGCAGGCACCCAGCAAGTGCCAGTCCAGGGCATGCGCTAAGGGACAGCGCAGGGAATGACCACAACTGAGAACCTCAAAGTTCAAACTCTAGCTCTGACTCTCACAAGGATGTGTGGCCTTTGTAACGCCTAAGTTCCGAAAGCCTCAGTTTTCTCTTCTGTAAAACAGGGATATTTGTAATCCATGCACCATAAGGTAGCTACCAAAAATAACGAGACAAGTTTAGAACAGGGTAGGTTATGACAAAACTTCCTTGCAGGAGTGAGCAAACGGAAGCTCTCTAAAAAGGGATCACTGCCATTAAAACCCTATAATCACAACTGGACTCAGAAAATCTAACTGCTCAAAAATGCTAGAATGGAGAGCTAGGCTCCTGAGGACTCACCAGTCCCAGAACAAACTCAAGGTTTTCCATCCCAGATTCTCGGCCAAGACCCCCTGCACCCAGAGGGAGCCCCAGGAGGGGAGAACATGGCCCTTACCTTGAGCACAGCTCACACAGGCCGTGCAGCGGCCGTCCCTGTCCAGGTAGTAGTCGGGCTCACACTGCTTCCTGCAGTCAGGTGACCCCTGGGGACACGGCGGCTGCGGGGTCAGCCCTGGGGAAAGAAGCAGACAACCTCCAGGCCAGGCCGCCAGGGCAGAGGCCCCATTCACCACCACCTCTTCACCCAGTCGCCACCACCAGCTCCAAGGCTGGCGCCCAGACTCCTCACCT